ATCTCTTTGACTCTGCCAATCAGTCACCATAAGGACTTTGAAGGGACAAGCATATATACTTTTTTTTTTTTTTGAGTTTTAATGGTTATTTCAAGCATATATACTTCTTAATCACTGTAGGTACTGAGGTCAAAAGGTCTGATTAGATCTTTAAGGCTTGGAAATGGGGCAAAGATATCTGTCTATCTATCGTGTTAAACTAATTCATTCAACAAATATATGATGAGTACCTACTACATGTTAAGCAATGTTCTTATGGGGATGCAACAGTAAAATAGAGAGTATTCATATTATAGTGGGAGAATATATAAAATATAAAAAATAAGTAAATTATGTAGTATTTTGAGATACTTCTATCATAGAGAATAGGAAATGTAGAGCTTCTGGTTTAAGTGACAATATTTCATAAACAGCAACCTCAACTCTTAATGCTGGTCTCTCGCATTTGAATTCCTTTTTAAAAGGGACTGAGTAGGACAATTTAATCTACGTGTCTGGGTTTATTCATAGCCCTATACCCTGCTTGTCTTCTGTGTTCTGTTGATAAAGGCATCAATTTTTAATAAATCTTTTAGTTCAGACTTCTGGGAATCAGAAGTAATATCTTGTGATACCTTTTCTAATGATTAAACCTACAATAATGATGATGATGTTAATAATAAAAGAAACATAAAAAAGTGTTCTTTAGAGGCAAAGCAGAAATGGCTTCTGAACTTTGGATACTCCAACTTGTTTATTTCTTTAATTGTGCCACCTACATTAATCCATCATGGACTACAAAGAACATTCACATCATTGCAAGTACAGGCTTATTTAGAGGAACAACTAGGAGCTTCAAGGATTATTTCTCTTTTCAGATGAGTCTATAATAATCCTCTTCCAGTAAAAGAAAAATGAGTTTGGGAGCGCCTCAGAGGCCATCAACCAGTGATAGCTGCTGTATATTATATAGCCTAAAAAAGCCCAAAGACAAAATGGAGGGCATGGTCAATACCACCAGTTAAATACAAATTACTTTAGGTTCAGCCTCTCTTGAAGTTTTAAGAAGACTCAGAGATCCATGGAGAAGGAACAAACAGGCATAGCTCTAAATGTAGCAGGGGGCTTTGGGATGGCTTTCAAGCCTCACTTAGAAATGGGCAATACCAAGCCCTGAGGTCTAACATTTCGATTCTGGAACATGTCTGTTCAGTGGCCTCATGGCCTCTGCTAGCCTGTCAGCATCACAGAAGAAAAACGCCCTCAGCTTCCAGGGCTCTTATGAAAGGGAATCAGTGATTGATAAGAAAAGGGTGGTTCAAGGCAAGCTGGAAGAGAAAAACAAACAAACAAAAAACGCTGCTGAGTAGGGAGGAAAAAAGAGGAATGAACAGCGTGTGTTTCCAGATTTGTGCCTTTGGCTTAAAAGTTCTTGACTCAAGTTTAGATTTTCCTAAGTAATGTCTCCTTGTTCCACATAGCTCAATAAAGGCAACTAAAATAGAATATTCCAAGCACTGATGACTGAAAAACAATTTATATTTTAAGTATAATTCTGACAATACTGTACATGTGGTTGTGATCCCAAGGCTGTTTCTTGAGACAAGAGTCAGGTCTTTCTTTATATAATTAGTATTAATAAAGTTGATAGAATGGTGAGGAGGACAGAAAAGGTAGAGGAATAAGAGACTGATAATAAAGATTAATGGTCCTGCAGTAAACATCCTATGTGGTACTTAATGATTAAAGACAACAAAAGAAACAAAGAAGAAAAGTATGTTAAAAAATTTAGACACACTAAAGAAGGGAACACAATTAAGGAGACACTAAACCAAGCAGTGTGACTGAGGCAATTAGTGCTAGGCCACTGGCCTTATGATAAACAGAGTGTCCAAACCCCTCGCAGCCACTTGTAAAGCCCATGTCCCATCTGTCTGGGCATCACCGTAAATGCCCACGCAGCAACTGCTCTGTTCTGTAATCCGTGCATAGCAGCTCTGCAATGAGTAGAATGACTCAGAGGGGCAACTTCAGCTCCTCAATGATGAGTTAGACTGTAATTTGGCCATGGCTCCATATCAGAATAAAAGAAGAGAAAAATATATGACAGTCTTTTTTTTTTTTTTTTTTAGAGAGGGACAGAGGGAGTGCAAGTGCGTGAATGGGGCTGGGAGGGGCAGAGTTCGGACAGACAGAGAAAGAATCTTAAGCAGGCTCCATGCTCAGTGCAGAGCTTGACGTAGGGCTCGATCTCATGATCCTGAGGATCATGACCTGAGCTGACATCAAGAGTTGGACACTTAACCAACTGAGCCACCCAGGCACCCCTTACATGACAATCTTTCTTATAAGTAGAAAAAGAAAAGTTAATTCCTGTGACACCTTAAAACAAAACTCTCTTAAAAAAATGAAAAAGTTTCTATTTTTTTTCCACTGCAACACTACAACCTTTCCCCACCAAAAAACAAAAAACAAAAAACAAAAAAGGGAAAAAGCTAATGAAAAAAATAAAAGTGTAAGTGAAAACTGTTCCTGAAAACTTTGCAGAATTGTAACAGCTTTGTCTTGGTTAAATTGATTGGTATAGCAACATTATAAAATGACTAGTAGGATTCATTGTGCACAACAGAAAGTGCTGAAATGTCAGCAGACTATACAGCAAAAAGTAATGGATTCTGAACCCCTGTTAGTCAAAAATGATTTTGTTTCAAATTAGAAATTGATTTTTTTTGGACACAAGCCCTTTCCAGGCTTATAGCTTCCGTAGCTGGGCCTGGGAGAGATTAACCTCCACCACTGTAAGGGCTGGCCTGATGGTACCTTTCTCAAAGTGCCTTTTCAACTGCAGCCTTCTAATGTGGCAGTGGTCTTAACCAATAACACAAGTTATTTGTCCCTTTGCTGTTACACTCTATTTTTCTCATTTTGCCATTTTACTTTAGTGCTGGCACACAACACAAATTTGTTGACAAGTTAACAGAAAACTATGTTAAGACTTGCAGTGTAACCACCACACACACACACCAGTTTTGATTGGTTCTTTGTTCTCCAAAGTGCAATGACTAAGACGAGAATACGAGTTTCCCATCTCTGAAGGACTAACAGAGAAAATAAATAAGATTCTATCTCAGCGATGAAGTCTCTTCAATCTCATTTTTGTATCTGGTAGCAAAGTCTACAAAGACAAAAGTTGTTCTAAGTTGTCCTGATGCAATGGAGATCTGCAGAACTTCTGCCTTATGTCAAATAAAATATACTTGCTTTTCAAGATGTGGATAGTTTCTCTTCTGAATCTTGGACTAATTATCATCTCTTAATTATTTGGAAGAAGATTAAACAATTTCTAGATTAATCATAGTTAAAACCAAAAATCAAGTCAAAGGTGGCAGGTGATGAGAGTGTGGTATACAAGATCTTCTAATAAAACACTGCCCATTTTTCAAACAAATAAATGTAAGAGAGGCTAGAGAGATTATGAAAAGTTGGTTGCTTAATACCAGAGGTGGGCAGGTGCCAGCCCAGTAAAAAAGAAGGTAAATATGTGGATGGAACTAGAGTGTATTATGTGAAGTGAAATAAGTCAGTCAGAGAAAAACAAATACCATATGATCTCACTCGTGTGGAATTTAAGAAAGAAAACAGATGAACATATGAGAGGGGGAGGAAGGAGAGAGGTAAACAAGCTATAAGTGACCCTTAAGGAGAGAGAACAGGGGCGCCTGGGTGGCTCAGTCGTTAAGCGTCTGCCTTCAGCTCAGGTCATGATCCCAGGGTCGGGGCTCCCTGCTCCGCGGGAAGCCTACTTCTCCCTCTCCCACTCCTCCTGCTTGTGTTCCCTCTCTCCCTGTGTCTCTCTCTGTCAAATAAATAAATAAAACCTTAAAAAAAAAGAAAGGAGAGAGAACAAATGGGATTGATGGAGGGAAGGGGGTGGGGGATGGACTAGATCAGTGATGGGTATTAAGGAGGGCACTTGTTGTGATGAGCACTGGGTGTTGTATGGAAGTGATGAATCACTGAATTCTACTCCAGAAACCAACCACACTGCACTATATTTAACTACCTAAAATTTAAATTAAAAAAAAAAAAAAAGAAGGAAGTCAGAGTTAATGGTTGTAAGCAGGTAAGAGGTATCTGGGGAAGAAGTGTGTGCAGAGGGGGCTCCAGGACTTTTTGTGGCCCTTTCTTGCCTGTACCTCTCTCTGTACAAGGAAGCTCAGACCTGCTGCATTCTGCTGTGAAATCGTTCCCTTGGTAATTTTTAGGAGAGGTGAAGCCATAAGCCACTCCAGAAAAAATCAGGAAACACAATTAAATTTTGACCACTTTGCTCAACATTTCACACAGTTATTTTATAATTGATTTTCTTCTAAAATATCTGTGACATCTGGGTGCCTGGCTGGCTCAGTTGGTGGAGCGTGCGACTTGATCTCAAGGTTGTGAGTTCAGCCCCCACAGTGGGTGTAGAGTTTACTTAAAAATACAATCTTTAAAAAAAAAATCTGAGACATCTAAAGTAGGAAGAATTACTGGCACTTAAAAGGCTGCTGGGCAATGTATGTTTCAGGCTTATGAAATTTTGTTTTAGCTACAATGTAGAATTGTCTATGACCTCTCCTTTACCCTTCCCATATTTCTAGTTAATTGAGAATTAACTGTAGTTGTTAGAGTTTACTCTCCCAGCAGAAATTTACATTCAATTTCCTGTCCTCTTTACTCACTTTGAACATTATTCTATGCCTATAACCATACTTACTGTTAAATCAGGCTTACGGTTTGCTGCTTGCAAAGAGGGACAAATCGGACAGTTTTTTCTAAGAGTATTCTAAGAGAAATGCTGATGCAATTCAGTGATCTAGCAGATGTGCCACCTGTGGCCTTGCAGACACATGTCAGTTGGTAATATACTTAACTCTTGTTCAGGGTTGTAGAAATCATCTGGAGTTCATGGCTGGCACCCACCAGCACCCACTGGCCCTGGAACAGCTTCTCCTTTTGCTACTTATAGATACTAAGCTTACCTCTTTGGGGTCGATATGTATCTTTCTTTTGACATGTCCATAGGGTATCATCTTCTGTATGTGATGGAAACCCAACTGTCTTCTCCCTTCTAGTCTCATTGCTGTTCGTGGATTCTTGGTACTTTTTGATGGATGATGATCCTCCCAGCAGCCAGCCATCACATTTTGACTTCAATAAACTGAAAAGAATAAACATGAATTAGCTGTAGAGAGCATAGATGGGGGGGTGCATGATCACATAAAGGCATATAAATTCAGCATGGTTGAAATGCAATTCATTGGCAGTAATAACTTTCTTTTTCTTATTGTTTTATTGAAGTATAATTTGAATAATTTACCGAAGGTCTATTTTGTATCTTGCCACAATAATTTTAGAGAAGAAATGGTCTTTATCCTCAAATATTTGGAGTTGGGGAAATGAGACTCAGACCCATGAAGCTGCTAATAAAGCCACAGAGTATGACTAAGAACCAGAATATCTATAGAAATAAAAAGTATGCTAAAACAAGACTTGCATAACTAAAATGTTTCCAAGTACTAAAATTGAACATTAGGGATTAAAATATCACCAATTTGCTTCAAAATGCATTTGTGTTTCTCATTTTCAATTGTTACAGTATTTATTATGTTCCCAGAGTATGTACGGAGCAGTACAATGGTGCACCTGGAATAACCAACCGGTCTCTGTCCTCACATAATTTCATTATAAAGTCAACAAAGCAAGTATGGAGTAAAAGGCATTTTAATGAAAATAAACACATGTACATATGTTTTTTTTTTCTAATAAACTGTGTTCCCACCATTAACACATTTCCTCTTATAACATTTTATTTTTTAGGGAGAAGCGTCCCAATGATGTATGTTCCTTACTATTCTACCAGCCTCTTCCTTTAAATTTAAATTCACTACAAACTCATGACACTTTGGTTTTGTCTTCACCATGCCCCAAAACAATGTGAGAGTTAAAGTGAAAAAAAAAAAAAGAGAGAGAGAGAAAACATTTACCCAAAAAGTAGAGTCTAAATATTAAGATGTTTAAACCCCCCAGAAGCAGAGGTAATCTCTGGATAAGAATAAGTTGACAGAGTATTATTAATCTCAGTGGACTCTTGACCAGGATTCAAATCATGTAAACCCATCCAAGTCATTGGGCTTCGGTTTATGTTGATCAGAATTTTTAATAATGTTTGCTCATGTAATAATTTACTAATAAAAACCAAGAAATTAAATGGCTTTATGTTAGGAATGATATAGAGAAACAAAAACTATTAACAGTATGGCTTTATATGGGCATAATGCAGTGTATTAAATTTATACTCTTAAAATTTTTTTTACCAGAACTCAGGGATCACTTACCCATGTAGTCTCACCAGTGGATGTATATCTTAGCTCATATAACTTCTATTCATGGGACAGGAAAAGTAAGAGAATAAAACTACCTCACTTTGAATGTAAGATAAATTTACTTTAACCCAGAAGCTCCAGATGCAGGCAAATCCAAGGACTACATCTCTGCTTGTTCTTTCTTTCTTTCTTTTTAGAGAGAGAGAGAGAGAGAGCATGTGTGAGTTGGGGGGTGGGGAGGGGCAGAGGGAGAGGGAAAGAAAGAATCCCAAGCAGACTCCCCACAGAGCATGGAGCCCACAGTGGGGCTTGATTGATCCCATGACCCTGAGATCACAACCTGAGTGCAAATCAAGAGTCAGACACTTAATCGACTGAGCCACCCAGGTGCCCCCATCTCTGCTTGTTCTTTTTCTTATTTTAAAGATTTTATTTATTTGAGAGAGAGAGAGTGCTTGTGCTCCCGTGCTTGCTCTCTCTCTCAAATAAACCCAATCTCTATCTCAACAAGGGACTTGGCTTCTAATTTCTTTAAAATAAAGATGACTACAAAAAATTTCTTATTTCCATCTTTACCTATCTACTATTCCTCTGTTAATGTCTCAGAAGAAAATCACACCTTTTTTCATATTCTTGATATTACTGACCTATGCCCTCTGTGATTATGGTCTGTCAATTATCTCCTTTTCTTATAATTTACAAACTCCTCCTCTCAACTGGATTCTTTCCTAGGATTATGAACAAGATCAGACTTTTCATTAAAAATCAAAACCTAAGCCTAAAACCAGGAACTCTTCCCTTAAGTGGGAAAGTGTAATACTCTGCGTCAGTGAGGGTAGGCTGCAGGGACAAGAGCACTGTAATACATTCCTAGAGGAACTGCAAACTGGTATAGCCTTCTGATGAGTGATTTGTCAACACAAAATAAAAATGCACCTACCTCCTAACAATTCTGCTTTTAAGAAGTTATCCTATGGAATTACGTTAACAACAGCATGAGAAGATTTGTTCAAGGACAGTCATTGCAGAATTATTTGTAACAGGGGAAAACTGAAGGCAAATATTCAAGAGAAGAATGAGTAAAGAAAAGAAACTGACACAGCCATTATAAGGAACGCTATTCAGTCACTAAAAAGAATGAGGTAGTTCTCTACACTATTGTGGAGAAACTTCATGACATACTAATAAGGAAGGAAGGAAGGAAAGGAAAAGAGACAGAGAGAAAGAAAGCAAGCAAGCAGGCAAGCAATTTGCAATAATAGAATGTATAACATGACCTTATTTTTGTAAAAACAAAAATACATAACAAATATTTTTAAAGTTCTGGATGAATACATACCAAACCTGAGAAGAAGCAGAAATAGAGTGAGTGAGGGAATAGCTTTTATAATTTAATTTATATACTTCTGATTGTTTCCATTTCTTCTAATAGGCATGTACTTTTTAAATTAAAAAACAAACCTTTTACCATCACCTTTACATTACCATCTCCTCTCTCTTTCCCTTGTCTGCCAAACTTTTAGAAAACAATAATCGATTTTAAAAGACATGCCTATTAAAACTGTTTTTCAAAGAACAAATCTGGTGGCTTTTTCTCTTTCAACAGTCTTTTTACTAGATCACTTTACAACAGTTGACTCCTTTTTTTACAACTGTTTATCTTGGACTTCATAATATATCATTAGGATTGGTTTTCTAGTTTTAGGAGGCTTCTACTCAGATTCTTTTACTGGGAACCCCTTTACTTCCTTCCCCTTAAATGCAGACATTCCTCAAGATTCTGTCCTTTGCTTTCTTCTCCCCCCCCCATTTAGCACTTTCTTAGTGATTCTTGCCACATCATTGTATTTTCAATTATGATTTCTAAATAGATTCATCTAGCCCCCAGTGCTCTTTAAAACTGCTGACCTGATCCAGTATCTGCCAGAAAGCTGTGAAGGGATGTCTTGTCATACCTCCCAAAGTAACTCCTGGGAAAGCAATTGCATTATATTTATCTTGAAACTAGTTTCTTCAGGCTTCCATTCTCATTTAATGACATCGCCATTCTCTCAGTCACTTATATGAAAACTATCAGTTACCTCAAATTCTCGTTTCCTTGTACCTGTTCAATAAATTACTAAATCAATAATTCCCTTGTATATTCATCAGATATTTATTGAAGACATACTCTATAGGCCTGGTAACGTGCTATGGGGTCAGAGTGGGCAAACATAAAAAATAAATATTTATTGAGTACATTATATATGCTAGGTGCTAAGCATACAAACATGAGCAAGACCTGGTTCCTGTTCTCAAGTGATTTTCGTGGTGGAAAGAGACACTGAAACAGATAATTTTTTATTTTTTTTAAAGATTTTATTTGTTTATTTGACAGAGAGAGACACAGCGAGAGAGGGAACACAAACAGGAGGAGTGGCAGAGGGAGAAGCAGGCTTCCCGCTGAGCAGGGAGCCGGAGGCAGGGCTCGATCCCAGGACCCTAGAATCATGATCTGAGCCGAAGGCAGATGCTTAATGACTGAGCCGCCCAGGCGCCCCGAAACAGATAATTTTTAAAAAAGATTTATTTCTTTATTTTAGCGGGGGAGGGGCAGAGGGTGAGGGAAAGAGAATCCTCAAGCAGACTCTGCTCTGAGTACGGAGCCTGATGCAGGGCTCGATCTCATGACCCTGAGATCCTGACCTGAGCCGAAATCAAGAGTTGGCCACTTAACCGACTGAGCCACCCAGGTACTCCTGAAACAGATCATTTTTATTTTTATTTTTTAAATTTTTATTTATTTATTTATTTTAAGATTTTTATTTATTTATTCATGAGAGAGAGAGAGAGAGAGAGAGAGGCAGAGGGAGAAGCAGGCTCCCAAGGAGTAGGGAGCCCGATGTGGGACTCCATCCCAGGACCCTGGGATCATGACCTGAGCCGAAGGCAGACGCTTAACCATCTGAGCCACCCAGACACCCCAAAACAGATCATTTTTAAAACTGTATGATACATGCTATGATTCAGGATACACAGGGTGTTAATGGGAACACAAAGGCAGGGCACCTATCTGTATTACTGAGGGGAAATTCTGGAAGCATTCAAACTAAATCTTGGAGGATAAGCAGGGGATAAGGAAGGATGGAAGGATGTTCTAAGCAGAAAAAACACTATGAGCAAATATACAAACAAGAAAAATATCATATATTTTGAGAAGTGAAGGTGAGGCAGGAGAGACAGGGACAGGTTACTTCATGAAAGGTTTGGTTTCTCCTATAAAGGGGCTCGAGCTCTATTTTGTAGGCAAGGCAGAGTCACTGGAAGGTTCTAAGGGGGAAATGGCATAATTCAACTTGAATTTATAAAAAACTCTCCCGGAACGGTGCCACTTAGAAAAGGGACTATGAGAAGCTGGATGAGTCTGAAGGTTGCGGAAACATCTCTGAGGAGAGCTGATAAAGGTCTGGGATGGAGAAGCAGTCATATGAAATGAAGAGAGATGGTTTAAAAACCATATTTAGGATTTAAAATTGGTAGAACCTGGAGAGTGTTTGAATGTGAAAAGTGAAGGGAAAAGGTAGTGGGAATGACTGGCAGAATTATGGGGGCATAAATAATACAAAGAGGAAGGATTGGGAATGTGGGAGAAATTAAATGTAGCCTCAGGTACTTATGAAACATTTGGGAAGATATTTCAAGAAAGCATTTGGATCCATAACTCTATAGTGTTTTGCTACTTGGCTGGCTGACTTTAGGGTGGTGGGGTGGAGACAGAGTTGAGGAAGTACATACTTCATTTTCAATGTTCTTGGTGAAGGAGGAGGTAAATTCATTCCTGTGAGTGAAAGAAATG